AGTTGCTTATCTCGTATGCCGCCCTCTGCCAAAAAGAAAAAAAGTGTAGAAAACTTTATTCTTGGGGGTGAATGTGTTTGTTTTTTGTTTGTTCCAGATGGCTTGATGTCTTCTGTGTGGTCTGTCTTGTTAAGATGGGATACTCTGAGCATGAGTTTTTGTCCTTTCCATAAGTATATACATATAAGATATGGAGTGAAATATTTTCTTGATATTCTATAATTATTTCTATATAAAGTCTCCTTTACTCTTTATAGGCATAAACTGGCATTTATGTAGGATACACACATTATCTACAGCATAGTTTGTTTACTTGTTTTAAATCTGAACTCACTGTAGTATATACAACTGTCTGCCTTCTGGACATCCCCACCTTCATAGCAAAGCTTACCTACAACAGCTTCCTCCTAACTATGTTTCCATTTTGAAATATAGCTCCACTTTACAATATATTTTGTGTTCAAGGGCCAGAGTGAGAATACTTTGTTAAATGCAGCACTTACATGGCCACTGCAATGCTTAAAACTTAAGTGCTTATTCATTGTGCATACGCCTAGAGGTAGATGCCTTAATGTTTCCTCTAATCTAGCTCTTTTTTTTTTTTTTTTTTTAGTTTTATTATTTTGTGTGTGTGTACCGTCAAATCAGATCTGACGGGTACAGGTGGAGATTGTTCCTCCGTCTCCAGCAAAGCATCTGGTGGATTTGAACCATGCACCTCTGGGATTGCAGTACACCTTCTTGCCACTAGGCCACCAGAGCTCGCCTCTAATCTAGCTCTTATTTAACTCTTCATTTTCTCTTGTGACTTTTTACTTCAGTCACACTAAGTTGCTTGGTTCCTGGATTCTTTTTCTTTGCCATAAGATCTTGAAATATGATATTTAAGGTTTTTAGATATTTCTAGTACCTGCCCTTGAGTCCTTGATACTTGCTACTGTATAAGCCTTTTATTTTCTGTATTTAATTCACTATCCTTAGTTAAGAATTAAATAGGTTCTGAGAGACTAAGTAACTTGTTCAGCTAATTGATTACTATGGTCCATGTACCTTTTGAGTCTCTCTGTGTGAAGGATTTCCCTTAAAATTTCTTGTAGTGTTGGTCGTATTTTCACAGATTCCTTAGGTTCCTTCTTTTCTGTCACTGGCCCAATTACTCCTTCATATTTGATGGCAGCTTTGTTGGGTACAGGATGCTCAGCTGGCATTTCTTTTCCTTCAGCTTTCTGTATGTGCCATCCCATTGTCTTCTAGCTTGTATGATTTCTGCTGAGAAATCCAACTTAATCTAATTGTTTCCCCTTCATTAGGCATCTCTGTTTTTCTCTGGCTACTTTTAGTATTTTATCCTTATCTTTTAATTTGGAGAATTTGACTGTGATATGTCTTGATATTTTTCTTTTTGGGGTCTAGTCTATTTGATGTTCACTGAGCTCTTTACATGTAGATTTTTCTGCTCTTCATAATACCTGGGAAGTTTTCTTCTAGTACTTCTTCCTCATTTTCACAGTGACTGCCTTGTCCCTCTCAGCTTCAGTAAATATGTATGTTCCTTCTGATGTCATCCCACATGATTTTAATGCTTTCTTCATTTTCTTTATGTCTCGTGCTTGATTTTTCTTTTAGTATGTTAAGTCTTTTAGTTTAGTATGTTGAGTCATTGAGTCTTTTGATTTTTAGCTCACTGACTCTTTGTTCCATCTCTTTAATTCTACTTTTTTTGACCCTCCAGCCTATTGGACACTTCTCCCATTTCCATCTTAATATTCTGAATTGCATTTTCCTGCATATCCATTATTTCAGTACAGTGTTGGCTGTACCCTGTCTTGTGATGATTTTTTAAAGTTCTTAATACCCTCTTTAGTTTCAATTCTTTCTTCCATCTTATGCATTTTCTTCTGTAGTTGTTCAAGTAACTCCTCACCAATATATTTCTTCTGGTCTTTGGAGTATTCACTTTCTTAATGGCTTCCCTTGTTTCTTCCATCATTTGCACCTGTTCAAATACTTCTGCATCAACATGATTGATGCATAGTTTCTTCTGGTTCTCTGTGTCTTGGGCATTCATTGGGCCTGAAATAAGCGTGCTTTTTTAGGAAATAAGCTGATGTAAGCTTGCTTTTTTATTTGTTTTTTTTCATGATATTTGAGGCTATCTGTGCTTTCTTGATGTTATGTGACTCTTTTCTTGGGAAGATACTAGGCTGTTATAAATGTGTAAGGTCCCGGGGGGGGGGGGGGGGTGATGTTCTGTGAAGGGCCTGTATATCCATGCTCCCCTTTGGGCTGAGGGCCTGAAGCAGGGTGAGTGTTGTTCTCTTGAAAACTGCTGTGAGTCCCCTCGTGTTCCTCTGGCTTAAGAAATCTCATTCAGCTAATTGGCAGTTTGACATTTAGATAACCTGCTTTTGGCACTTGTAGTCTTCATCACCTTGGTGAATTCTGCTAGCTCTTCATGTCTGTCTTATTCATGTGAGCTCTCAAATTCCACCTTGTAACCTTCAGAGAGGTGTACTGCTTAGTATTTCTGTGGTACCCCATTATAGATTATTAGTAAAGCAATTGCCATGTATGTTATTTGAAATTCATGGCCACTTTTCTGCATTGAACTACTTTTCAAACTTAATGCTGTCGAGTCAGAATCAACTCATGGCTGACCCCCACAGTGGTTTTGCAGAGGCTGTAATTTGCACAGGAGAAGACTGCCTGTCTTTCTCCACCAGAGCAGCTGGTGGATTCTGACCACCCACTGCTCACCCTGTAGGCCACCAGAGTTCCTTGTAAGTCCATTAAAAATGAGACTGTCATTAAAAATGAGACTCTCAGAATATTCTACTACCTGGTTCCAAGCCATTGCTGTCACCAAGTCAGTTTTGGCTCATAGAGACCCTGTAGGACAGAGTAGAACTGCCTCCCAGGGTTCCAAGGCCAAGCAGACTTCTATATATTTGTCCCACAGAGTGGCCAGTGGTTCAAGTTGCCAACATTGTGCTTTGCAGCTGGGTTGCCTCCCCAGAGCATAGCACTTGCCTTATAGCAGGCATTAATATTCTTAATATTAATTAAGTTAGCAGGCACTAACTAAAACACATGGTGGATTTTTAAACAGATCCATTATTAAGAAATCCTGTCATGAAGAGGAAGTATCCATCCTCCTCACTTTTCTTTCCTCTTGTTTCCCCACACTTGTGTGCAACTACAGAAGCTGCTGGCTAACTTTGAACATTTCAGTTAATTGTTCTGCTGAAGTTCGAAGAAAACTCTTTGCTCCCTTGTAGCTTTGTGGATAGGAGGCACTGTAAGAGAGGCTAGTGACATCTGTACCTGTTGATAGCTACTTTTTAGATTATTGTTGATTCTTGGGAAATTATTCCATACTTGGTAACTGGTCACAGCTCTAAAGAGTGAGTCCAGGGAGTGCTCATTGTGGTGAACGGTGATAACTTATGTTTTCTCGTAGAATCCTTTTTGGAGAAGCTGTAGTGAGTACTGGGCTTATATCAAAGCCTCTGCTGTTGACAGTAAAGTGAGCATTCTCTAACTAGACATTGTTCTCTTAATGAGTTCTGCTCCAATGTCTGGGCAGATCCTGCCCTTTTCTTGCTTGTTACCCAAGTCTGCTCTATTCTTGCCTGGTGCATACCTGTGTTCAGGTACTTTTGCATTTTTGACCGTATAAAGGAGAGGGAGCAAAGAAAAGTCAGCTGGACTAATTGTCAGTTCATCACCACCGCTTGATAAAGGACTTGGACATTCTGTAGATATTTCTTGACTGAACGGATAAATGCATGGACCAAAGCATTCAGAATTTCAGTTGATATTTCAGAGTTCCAAAATGTAGCCCACTGTCTGCCTTACATAGCTATAATTGGTATCATTTAATAAAGGAAATTTTATAAAAGGAGGACTAGTAATAGATGGCAGTGCTTCAGGCTGGACAAAAAGGGAAATAGCCCAGATAATTACCAACAGACATGAACAGAGATGCCTGGTGAGTATTTTGCTTAGAAACCTAAGAATACTGGCTAAAATAGGATTCTTTCTAAAGAAGTTCTTTCTGTATAAAATTTCAGAGCAAATTGAAGCATCTATATTTTTTATCTTTACTAAGTACCTTTACTAATAGTGGGAAGATAACTTATCTTGGCACATTATTCTTGGGTATTTTTTAGTATACTTTATGTAACAAAATACGAATGGGAGAATAATATGGAAAGGGGGAAATAACACTTCTTTTGCCAGTATCTCCAGACCATAGATACATCTATGCAATCAGTTGGATGGACTAAAGGAATAGTGTGCAGTACATACTAGCTTTTAGGAAGTGGCTCAGAATTTCTGACATGATTTTTGTTTTGTTATGTTTTAATGAAAAGTTTTTAGTGTTGGGGGGTTTTTGGTGTATGTGGTTTTTATTGAGGAATGGTCATAAGAATGACCACTGAGCTAAATAAAAATTATTCTTTAATAAACAGATTTATACCCAAATGAATTTACTGTTTTTCCATTTTAACCTAACTACTGGAAACGGTAGTTTCTCTAACAGTTGAAGTATGTACAGCTAGAAAAAGAAATCCTTGTTGACATGCTTAAATCTGAAGTAGATTTTTCTTCTAGGTATGGCGATTCAGTACTGCGTTTTGTTCTGTAAATGAATGGAAATTTGCCGACGTCCTAAGCATGGCTGACCACTTGAAGAAATGCAGTTACAATATTGTAGAGAAGCGTGAGGAAGCGGTCCCTTTGCCATGTATGTGTGTGACGCGTGAGCTCACTAAGGAAGGACGTTCACTACGCTCAGTTTTGAAACCTGTAGTTTGAAAACTCCACCTGCACAGAGATGCAAACATCTAGTATAATTTCTTTGTAATATGTGACACTTTATTAATGTATTAAAGATTATAACTAGCTAAATTTATTGTCACTGTGTATATAAGGTTTTGAAGTGACATATATTTTTGTAAAATAAGTACTGTTTAGTTGGATTAAAAAGTTGCCTTAATGTTTGAAATGTGTGAAATTTTTGGAACTTGCTGGACAGGGTGATTTCATTTTTAGCCGTATACGTTTTGGGATTAATATTTTCAATGGTGTGCATATTTTGGTTCTTAAAACTCTTGGTTTCTAAAACTGACAAGATCCTGACCAAATAATTTATTTCTCATGTATTCTGTGGGTTACACCCATGCATTCAAAACATGGAACTCGGATTGACATTTTTGCAGCACAGATTTTTAATTAATATTCAGATGTTTAAAACACTACCATAATAAGATCACAAAAATAATTTTTATTTGTAGTCCTTCCCTTAAGAAATCATTGGCCCATGGTGATTTCTGGTGGTATAATCAGTAGAGAGTTGTGCTGCTGACCCAAAAAGGTGGCACCTCTCTGGTGATTCAAATCCACCAGTGACTCCATAGTAAAGAGATGGGCAGTCTCCTCTGGTGTGATTTACATCCTCTGAAAACCAGCTGGAAGGTCAGCTAGGCATCAGTGGCAATGAGTTTTGAGTTTGATGATCTCTACATATAAAAATATTATTATCATGACTATTTGATAATGTCATTCATCATAATCACAAAGTTACTCTCAATTTATGTATCAGTGACCTGATATGGGAATGCCCAGATGCCACTTCCAGTTTTGTTAAAAGTCCAGAGACTTAAGCAACATATTATAGAACAAATACAAACCCCCAGAAACCTCTGTGGATTTAATTTGAAACTTTATGGTGTTAAGTATTTGCTAAGTATTTGAATACAAGTAAATATACCTCATTAAGTTTGTATTGGGCATATTGTATGAGTACATTTCAAATATTCAGAATGGAAAGGGCTTTACAATCATTTTTTCATAGGCTTTTGCATTTTATATTTGATAATAAAACCCAGCTGTTTTAAGACATTTGAAAATGTGAAGGTTGGTTTCATCCTTGTAAGATGACAATCATGCAATGTACGAATCTGATTTGATTGGCAATCTACTTAAAACATTTCCAAGTTCATTTCTCATAGACTTTTGTAGCAGAAAACCAGTTGTTTCTCTGTGTAAAGATCCAGGTATAATAAGAAGAGTATTCAAAGGTCTTTTCTTTAGTATTTCAACTTTCAAATTGATTTATACTTTTATTAACCTTCTAAGAGCAGTTTTGTGTTTTTGTTTTTTTTTTTTTTAGTACATCAGTATTCAGAATTAAATGGCAAAAGAGGACTTATGCTTAGATAATTTGTCTTACGTAATGTTGGCATTTGGTAGTCTGTAATGGTGGCAAATTAACGTGGTAGAAATCTCAGAACTCTATTGTGTTTTCTCTTCCTGCATTTGTCCCTGAGGGCGCTGTGTTGTTCCTCAGTTCTTGATTCCCATATATGGCCATCAGGCTAGGCAGAGGCCTTCTTGGGCATTAGAGAAGAATTCTCAACTACTTAAGACTTGTTTTGGTTGGAGCAAGTCCTTAGTCCAGTTGAAAAACATAGTATTAAAGCCTAATCAGTTGTTTTGCGTCACCTTTTTAATTTGTAGAATTATTATACTTCTCAGTACGTAAGTTTCCTTTTTCAGCTGTAAGATTAGATTACATTTTTTCTTTTGGTGACAAAACCAGTATCAAATACTGTAAAATACAACTCTGCCTTCTACAGGTTTTACAAAGACAGTATCTCTGGTTAGGGTAGCACCAATATTAATTTTTTTTTTTAAAAAAAAAACCAAACCAAATACCTTTTTATGCATTTTTTTAATTCATGATTTCTACATTTAGCTGTTTTGTTTCCACATTTGATCATGAGATATTTGACTTTTTTTCCACCTTACTATATTTCTTTTACTCCTCTGGCTCTTTTCTCTTCAGTTTGTTATGCCACCATATTATTTTGTTAAAATGTTTTCTTTGTGCAACATTTGTTCAAATTTTAATAAAATTCATGTTTTCCCATTGTAGAGTTCATGAACTAAAAACCAAAACTTTTATTTAAATAAAATTTTAGTACTTGTTTGCAAATTCCAAACACAGTCATCCTCTTTCTTTAGCGTGACATTTCTGCATGCTGTAGTAGTTGCTTGTTGATTTACTATCTTTGCTTGTCCTTGTTACACTGGGAAGCACAAAAAAACACTTCCTTGTTTTTTTAAATGAAAAACTCATTAGTTCAATTTCTTGACCCACCCCAGTGTCTTGAAAGCAGTCTTGACTGGGACTGTCGGAAGGCTGCAGAGTTTCTAGCATGATTTATTTTTAAGGCTTGCAGTGGTAACAAGTATATTCAGCCTTTTAAACATGAGAAGTTTTGAATGTTGGTTTAGTAGTTTGTCTTTTGGAAATCTTGGTTGATTCTTAAGTCTTTACTAACTGGAAGATGAAGAGCAAGGGTCAGGTTAGAAGGAAATAATTCAATTCACTTTTGCCCTCTGTATGGGTTTTTTTTGGACACCCCCCCAACCCCCACCCTATCCCCAAACCTGCTGAACTAGAAAGTCAAGGGTGGGAACAGACAGCCTGGTTAAGGCCTCCAGGTGATGCTGATGCATAATAGTTGGAGAACTTGGAGGAGAGAGCAGCTTGCCAGCTGGGCCTCTGGTGCCCTGAGCAATGTGTCACTCCGGTGTAGACACATGTGCAGTCCGGAATGAGTAATGCTAATGTATTCATACCCACAGCTAAAAATGAGATGATACAAGTGCAACAATGAATGACTGGAAGCCCTACGTCACTGTAAACTTTTATTAAAATTAATAAAATTAATTTAAAAAATGAGATGATATGTGCAAGCTGTCTCAGACTTCCAGCCATATGGCCAAAAAATTGAGTACTATGGTTATTGGAATTTAATTTTAATTTGTAATAAGTATGTACCATTTTCTCAGTGATGTTTCACTAGGAGTTGCAGCGTCCTCCGCAGGGACTTGAGCTGCTGACTGGAAGGCAGCTCCTCTCCAATGGTTTGGACCCACCAGCAGTGGGATGATGACTCCTGTGTGTCATTTACAGCCTCTGAAAGCCTGCTGGAAGGTCAGCTGGGAATCAGTTCTGACTTGACAGCAGTGAGCGAGTATTTCACTAGGGAGCTCTGGTCGCCTAGGCAGTAGGGAGTTGCACTCCTGACCTGAAGGCCATGCCTGTCTGGCAGTTCAGATGCCGCAATGGGCCCCGCAAGGGGAAGGGGAGCAATCTCCCCTATGATGCACGGCCTCAGAAACGTGCTCAAGGGCCCACCGAGTCAGAACTGACTCAAAGGTAACAAGGGAGTTTCTCTAGTGTTTCTTCTGTTCTAGGTAAATTGCAGTGCATGGTTTTCGTCCATCAGCCCTCACGTTTAGTCTAATGGGCATTCATCTTGCTTAGTGGTTGTGGAGTCCTGTGAACACATTAGATTTCTAAGATAAGCGAACAGAATAGAATACTGGATTCCATCCTGTAAGAATATTTGTAGGAATCCTTTCAGTACAGTCAATACGGTGTAGTTTGGTAGTAGTAGGGCATTTTTTCGTTTTTGGCTTTGACCCTGGCCTGTATATCCCCTTAATGTCATTGCTGTTTTTAACATTTACCACTGGATATTACACACCACATGGAAGCTAATGGGACTGAAGCGGGAGGTGGTAGAAAGAAAGCAATCGACCTTCATTCCCTGACAATTCTAGGTAAAGGGTTCTGCTAGGGGAAAAAATGTGCTTGCTTGATTGTCTAAACATGGCTCTAAATTCCCTAACATGTCCCTGAAGCCTGGAAAAACAAGTATATTAATACCTTAAAACAGAAAACCCCAAGAAACCAAACAAACCACACCCAGCAGTTGCTTGTTTTAATCAAATTTGATCTTTTCAAAGTTACCTTTAATGTTGTTGATTGCCTTCGAGTCAAGCTCTACAACTATCAACATTTCTCAAACTTTTGACATTTATCTGAAAAATCAGAGAAAGAGAAAAAGATAAGACCATTCTAATTTCTGTTGTATGGATGAGAAAATGGAGGTACTTGAAGCTGAGTGGATTGGGATTTTTGAGAGAAATGTGTTCTGAAATTACTTTTCACTTCAGAAAAGCCAAGGAGGAGGAATCTGTACATGTACAAAGACATTACCTCAGAAAATAGTCATGGTCTATAATAATCCTCCCAGATAGTTGTTTGTTGTTGAAACAGTAAAGCTGATAAAGCTTCACCTCACTTACTCCGGGCATGTTGCTAGGAGAGGCTATTCCTTGGAGAGGGATATGATGCTTGGAAAGACAGAGTCGGCCAAGGAGAGGGAGACCTTTAACCAGATGAATTGATATGGTGACTGCTGCAATGGGCTTTAGTGTGTCAGAAAGTGTGAGGATGGCACAGGATAGGACAGGGTTCAGATCTCTATGGGTCATATTGACTTGACAACACCTAACAGCAACAATAATAATGTTTAAAAAAATAGTACTCAGTGCTATCGAAAAAGAAGTAGAAAGTAAATGTGACTTGTTGCTTTAAATATTTCCAAACACTAAATTCACTTTTACTGAATTTCTCAAAGTATCTTAATTTACTGTATCTGTAACTGATAACACTATAAAATTCTTTCTTTATTTAACCTTTAATAAATTGTCCAAGTAGATTTTAATAACATCTTGAGATGAGTTAATGAACGTTAAAAAAAAAAAAAACCCAAAACCAAACAAAACACACAACACCTTGAGGTACTTCTTTACCTTAGAACATTTCAAGACTGACATCATATAGTCAGACTTTGATCTCCATGAATTCCATGGAGGACAATTTTTCATTAGTAAAGAAACAGGCTACAAGGAAGATTCATGAATGTGCATCCCAGTAGAACTTCACTGATGATATTTGATGTGATAGACTTTATTTATAAAGAAAAGCATTTCTGAACAACTGACAGCTAGGAGAATTGTATAATTATATAATCAAATAATATTCTTACAAATGTTAGGATATTGGAAAATGATTCTTTAATGCATAGTGAATTCTAGTGGTAGGAATAGCTTATATGTCTAAAAGTGGTAAAACGGCATTTCTGTTGAAATCTTTAGATGGATTCATTAGGTAAAATAATAATCCTTTCCCAGTGAAAATCAATTCAGTACATTTAATTCAAACTTAAGCCAATATAATAAATTGTTGGGAATTTTGTCTGTTTTTCTAAGACAAGGTTCTCAAATGGGTCAGTGTTATAGGTTCACCCGTTGGAAGAAAAGTCGACTGAAATGAGAGCTTTCTACACCCTTGTTAGAAGGTAATTATAATTAGAGTATTACTCAGTGGTAGTTACAGAATCTAATACAAAAACAATATCCATAGTTCATTAATGATCAAATGACT